TAATATTATTATAGTTATAATATTGATGCTTGGAGAAATGTTACTTAAGCTAGTAACTATGCAAAATGAAGCGTCAGACATTGTAGGTGTCACTATCAACCAAATAAAAAATCCATAGTACCAGTACATTTGTAGTATTAAAATACTTAATGTGGTAATTATGGGAGAAATCCAATAAAGTTATTACCTTTTCTACTTTATATTTGTTAAGGTTTTAGAATATGTGTTTGCTAAGCAATTTAGTTATCCATAGCAACCCAAAGTTAAAAATAATGTCACCATTAAAACCGCAATCCTCAAATTAGTAAACAGTCCAAAAATGGTTCTTAAATCTTTTTTATATGACGAGTTATTAGTTTTGTCCAGTAAAAGTGATTTCTGGCCCACTGTGAAACGGCAAAATAAATTAAAAATATATATTTTGATAATCTGAAGAAACTACTAGTGAAAACCAATTTAAATCAAATTGCATAAATAACGATGATGAATTAATTCATCATCGTTATTTATGCAATTTGATTTAAATTGGTTTTCACTAGTAGTTTCTTCAGATTATCAAAATATATATTTTTAATTTATTTTGCCGTTTCACAGTGGGCCAGAAATCACTTTTACTGGACAAAACTAATAACTCGTCAAATTAATTTGAACCAATGTGTTTATATTTTACCATATATATATTTTTAATTAATTTGAACCAGTTAATTTGATTAATTGAATTAATTGAACCAAATTAATTTGAACCAATTAATTGAACCAAATTAATTTGAAGCAAATGTGTTTATATTTTACCATATATATATTTTTAATTAATTTGAACCAAAATGTGTTCAAATTAATTTGAACCAAAATGTGTTTATAAGTCTTTAAAATTAATAGCAACAATTATTCAAGCAAAAATAGCTACTTAAGCAAAAAAATTTTTATAAATTGTTGCAGATTTTCAAAGAAATGAAATGCGTTGTTGTTATAAAAAAAAGGTATAAAAATTTTGACAAGCAAATTTTTCATCAGTATTAAATGGATAGCTTATTTAATTTAAGTACAATATATACAGAGGCGGGTTGAGTTTTAGCTTCGTGTGTTATACACAGTGGCGGGTTGAGGTTTAGCTTCATGGAGGGTGACCACAAGAACAATAGGGGGCGACAGAGGTTGAGAATGGCTCACTAACTCCTAAAAACATTTTTTATGCACTTGTGATAAATGCTTTATATCAATCCTTTTATGTGCCCTTTTTCATAACTATTAAGATACTAAAAAATCTAAAGTATAAATTTGCTAAGTTTACATTAACAATAATCATTTAAGAAAAAAGAAACATTTAATATTATTCGTTATTTAAAAATATATTTACACAATATATTACTGAAAACAACCATTAAGAAAGAAATTTACTTTCCTGTTAGTTTATCCAATTTTTTTTCTGCCAGATTTCATTTCCAGCTGGTACAGAAAGGTTGCTGGGCGTTTTAAGAACATCACACTGACATATACAACTATACGGCGTGTATAGACGTCTTACGGGCGTCTGTGCCCGCTTTCAAAACATATGCTGTCAGCAAACTCACATTCCATTAAAATTAATGTCAATTCAAAGAAACATTGTTTTTTCATTGTTGATCACAAATAATTTTTGATAATCTTTAGTCTACTGAAACTTCTCTCGTCATAAAGAAATGTAAAAAGAATAGTTAAGTCAACTTAGTAGAGTGAAGACAAGTAAGAAAAACATGATGCCATCTATTTCTCTATTAAGAATAGACGTACGTTTTTCATTACTGGAGTTATTGATGCATACATTTTGAAAAAAGGGCCGGCGCCAGTCATCATTGCTGGGGATATTGATGCATACACTTTGAAAATAAGGCCGGCGCGAGGACGTTTCAAGTGGGGAGGAAGATCCATACTGGTTTTTGCCGAATAAAACTTTAACTCGTAAAAATAAATCTAAATTACTTTACAATATTGAAATCAGTGAATTATATTTTTTTTTTCCCCTTTAAACCCAGCTTTTTCCCTTTAAAACCGGCAAGAGGAGCACGGGACAGTTTTTTCCCACACTCATCAAAACTCATCATAAAAGATGTTTGGATAAAATATTGTGTTAACAAATTTTCTTGGCAATCAGGTAACACTTTTTTTTTAAGAAACAGAACATTTTATTCGTCATCAGTTGTTATATCAGGTTTACATCATGACTTTTTTTTTGAAAATGTCATTTTTGAAAATGTCAAAATCATGACTTTATTTTTGAAAATGTCAAAATTTTTGAAATTGCTTTTATCGAAACCTTCACAATATTTCTTTCATTTGTAATGTATATTATTATTCAAATCTTATTTAGACACGAAAAAGTGTACTCCAACAAGCTAAGGAAACCTTTGTGCTGGCTTCTGAAAATTTAAATATTCTATTTCCAAATGCATCAGCATTTTCTTTCAAAAAAAGCTTTTTCAACAAAGATAAAGATGGCATCATCTTTCCCGCTCTTTTAACGGAGAGGATTAAAGAAATGTATCTTATCATTACCGTTGCCGCATTTTCCTAAAACTACTCTGTATTTTGAAATTTCCATCTAATTTTAAAATGATTCCTAATTTTTAATTAGTAATTTAGATTTAATTTATGCAATAAGTAAATAAGTGCATATGTAAATTATATTTACAACAAATTCTTGTATACAAAAAAAAAAACTAAATATAATGAGTTTGTTAATATTCTATTAATATAAAATTGTTTTACAAATGCTATGCATTAAAAAATGTTGGAATTCTGAGATTTTCAAAAACAAGATAATCTTCAACTTTAACAGCCAATTAAAGTTAAACACTTATTTTAAAAATTTTAAAAGCGCAATTCTGAAAAGACTTTAAAATCCAACTTTGATTTCTTTAATATACTGCTCCATCATTTACAGATCTATCTATTCACCATCGTTTTCTCCTAACAAAATTATGGCAACTATCTTCATGACAACTATTGTGATTGCTTTAAGCACTCAATCGAATCATGAAAACATTGTTGATAATGTAAATCGATTTTATTCTTAGTTGAGTTTAGCTTTATCAACTAAATTGTTTTTTAACAACTTACTGTTTTTGGCGTAAAAATGCATTGCCAATAATTGCAAGCAATATTGCACCGGTATTTGCCAGCAATATTGCATCAATATTAACAAGTATTAACTATTTCCAATTCCTCTAATATTGATATTAATATTTAATTTCTGTCAAACATCGATAAAACACCATTATATGTGTGATGAAGTAATAATTCTGTTTGATGAAGTAATAGTCCTACTTTGTATGATAATTTTTCTATATGTATTTTTTCGTTTTCTCAAAGCAAAAAATAAATAACTCGGACAAAATATTAAAAAAAAAAAAAGTTTTTAAGAAGTAATGATTTTATTGTGAAACGACCATGATAATTCGCATAATTGTCTATATTAACTTAGTTTTGCTCAAATTACGTTACAAACAATTACACACACCAAACTTGTGTACATATAATTACGTAAATCGTGTGTCGTACAACTCTTCGTTAATCGTGTGTCGTAATAACAAAAAAATAATAAAAACAACAACTTATAATAATGATAATAAAAATTATTGCAAAAATATTATTAAATATTAAATCGTATTTTTTGTTTAAAAAGTTTAACAAACAGTATATAGAGGTTGAAAATGAATTAAGCACTTTTATTTCATAAAGAAGATTATTTAGTTAATGTAGAATAAGATTATAAATTTATTTCCATCTTAATTAGAGTGATGTTTTGAAGCAGACCATATTAAATTGTTGTTGGATCAAAGAAGATTACAATTTTAACATATTCGCATAATTTTAATATTACGAAGTTAGGTATAACACATTACGATTAAAACTGCGGTTCTAAAAATAAACTACAGAGTTTTGTTTTGGAGATTTTGTTTTGTTTTTGATGGGATTATTTTACAAGACACAACTTACTTAGACACAACTGAGACACTTAGCACGTATATTTTAATGTAAGCTAAAAATAGAATAGTATATGTTTAAAAGATTAACGTGATGGCGGACTTTGACCATTTGATTTTTAAAGTCTAATAATAAGGTTTTAAAATCACATTTAATACCGGGTTATTTGATTGAGATTTTCAGATCAGAAAACAGATTTTCTGCCTCCTTTTCTAAATTTTGAACGTTTATAATTTTTTGTTTGATTAGATTTAAAGTTAACAAGATCAGTTTTAAAACAAATAAGAAAAAGTGTGCTGAAACAAACTAAATTGATCATGGTTAATACATTCATTAATTTATTTTTTGAGGAGGGAGAGAGGAGGGGGCGGGGAAGGAGGGGGATAGGTTTCTTAAATTAGTGTAATCAGAAAATTGGTAAAAAAAATTTGAAGAAATATTCTGATTTCGTTAGAATAGAGTGATCTACTGCATCAAAAGCTTTCTGTAAAATAAAGGCTATATTCAATGCAAAATATTTATCATCGAGTAATTTTTTAACTGGTTTAGTAATAAGAGAGCGATTTGCACAGTGATTTGTACAAATCCTGATGATTTGATTCTGATGATGATCCATGCTGATGCGTATGAAAGTTTTTACTTAGTTAAAATAACATTTATAAAATACTTTCTTAAATCGTTAACTTATATTAAATAGTAGGGGAAATAGATTAGTAATTAGTAAAGTCCAGTAAAGAGTCTCTTTTTAAGTATTTGAATTATTTTTGCAACTTTATAAAAGTTCTTAAGTACATGTTACAACTTTTTAAACATATTTTAAGTTGCTTTGAAAATATCTTATGTGTGTTTTACTAAATTGAAATAAATTGCTGATTTTGTTTCTCTAAGATTTAAATTTTGAGAATAATTCATTTTTAGCATATATATTGTTGAATTTTGTAAACTTTTTATCGTGTTTGTTTTTAACAGTATTAAGAATGCCATCTTTAATTCAATGTTTATATTTGTATTCATTTTTGTTGGTTGTTTAGTGTTTTGTAGAGATGAGTGATATATGTAAATGCATATACATACGTAAGTTATGTAATTTTTTTTCGTTTTAAGCATTTTCGTTATCAGATTAGGTAATTTATCTTCATTCATATGAATAATGAATATCAATTTGGCCTTGGAATGTTAAAAAGCCACTAAAGATCAATAGCTGACTGACATTAGTGTCGTGGGGTACAGAATTAAAAAAGAGAATAACAAGGTTTCTAACCTCCTGTTGCATTCTACTACTGTTAAAATTTTTATCATTAATACAGTAAGAAACATTTGATAATATTTAATACTTGGGTTTTTAAAAAGATATTATACTTTATATCATTGACCGCATTAAGACACAAAATACTTTTCTACGAGTATAAAAAGCCTCGCTTCCATGAATTTTCAAATTCTTGCAAGTGAGATATTGATTACGTATAATACTATTAAAAAGTTTATAAATTACTTTAATAATACATTACACACAATAATTCAGAATATTGCAGCTTTTATATAACCAAAAAATAAAAACTAAAAACTAGCTGGTAAAAAATTGTATAGTTTGGCAAATATGCTTAAAAGCAACAAATAAACGGCTAGATCCTCTGAAAGTAAGCAACAGTGTGTTTATTGACACCAGTTTGATTATGGAAGTGGATATCCAGCTAATACAATAGAGGTAGCTATTTAAAAAAGAGATGAAAAATAAACAATTAAGATTGCAGTTTTCGCTTCATCCAATTATTTAGAAAAACGGAGACAAGAATTCAATGCATTAGCAGTTTCAAATCAAACAACATTTAACAAAGTTTCAAAAGCGTTGTTATTAATAAATAAAATTAAAAAAAAACTTTTAAGAAACCTTTAACTGGTTATATTTTATAATTATAATTCATTACGGCACATTGATACTAAAACAAATCAATGTGTCCACAATTGTTCTAATGTGCTCCTAATTTTTTTATTTTATAAAAGTATAATTTTGTTCATTTACTTTTTATTTCTAAAGGAAAATGTTGCGAACATATCAACGCAAAAAGGAGATAGTGGATATCAAAGATGTTGTTATCGCTTTTGCAATTTCGAATGTACTAGACCGCAAGCTATCAATTAAAAAAGCGACTAATAGTTTAAAGTCACCACCTTTACAACACAAAATAGAAGGTAAACAAACGAAAACTAAAAAAAAAGAAAAAGACGTAAGATATTCATCGAAATGTCACACCAAGTACTTACAACAAAACTAGGAACCAATCAAATTGACATATCATATACATAACATATATCAAGAAAAAATTCCTCATAGTCGTACTTTTTAACTCGATTTAAAAACTTGGTTAAACGCAAGTTAACTGAAACGTTTTTCTCTAAAAAAAAATAAAGGTTTTGTTCATGTATCTCTCATTGTATTAAAGTTAAATAGTCCCGTAATCAAGAAAACTAAAGATAGAAAACCTTCACTTTTAAATTTAAAAATAAGTTTGACATTTTTTATTATTTCTATTTAAGTAATTGGTATCAATTGTATTTGTGTAATATAATATGTATATTATATTATATATATTATATTATATATATATATATATATATATATATATATATATATATATATATATATATATATATATATATATATATATATATATATATATATATATATATATATATATATATATATATATATATATATATATATATATATATATATATATATATATATATATATATATATATATATATTGAAGTCTTATTGAATATTTAACGGGTTCTTAAAATCATCCGGAAAAAATTTGTTGAAAAGTATGTAAACCCGGTTCTCATAGAAAGCGAAACTTCAAAAATTTCAAAAATAGTATTCATTTTATAAAAATATTATAGTTGTAGTAATATTTATATTACTAAAAAAGTAATATAACGCTATTTTAACATTTTGTTTAAAATTATAATTTTTTTTTAATGTTTTTTAAAATGTTTTTTAAAACAAGCCCCACTCGAACAAATATAGGAAAAGTTAATTTTATGGTCAGTCCAGGTGAAAATGACGCACTCCAATTTGCGGCTAAAACTTTCTTATAATAATTTTTTAATTTTATCTTTATTTACCAGAAATTTGTTTCTAATGCAAATAATACTGGTTTTACATCTTTTACAAACAAATAAAAAGTGTTAAATAAATTCAGTATAAAAAGAATTTCAGAAGTTGCAATTTGTATTTATAAAGTTAGGTGGTCTTACAGCGTCAGAGCTAACCTTTTTTCTATTTCATATAAGTATAAATATGTTATATATTTTGAAAAGAGGTTACAGAAAAAAATAAAAAATAAATAAATTTATCATAAAAGAGGGTAAAATCAGTCAAAAATGCTGCACATTGTAAAGCAATAAATAACTAACTGTTTGGTTTCAGAAAATCAGAAAAATACGTTAAATACGTCAAGCTTCCTAACTAACTTCCTAAAATTTTAAAATTTAGACAAAAGATTTGGCCCTAAAAAATATAAAAAGGTTCTGACCATCCTAATTTTGTCGCAATTTATTTGACGTATAACGTTAACAATTTGCGACAAAATTAAATTTAATATAACGTTAAAAAGCTTTAAAGTCGAATAATTTGCGACAAAAATAGGTCGTTGAAATTTTGATTGGAACCTTTTTAAATATTTTTGAGGCTCAAGTTTTTTTGTCTAAATTTTAAAACTTTGTACTCTTTGTACTCTATGTACTTTGTACTCATTAATGTAGCTATTTATTAACACGCTGATTTTATCATTTTTAATTTACAGGTAAATGTACCGCAAAAACGACAATGTTGGTTTAAGTGACCTAGCATATAGAAAAAAATTTAGGATTAAAAAAACTTGATATATTATGGTTGCTAATATGTCAGCCTATAAATTAAAGCATTTTTAGTGGTTTTTTATGTGTTAAATACTTTGGTATTTGCACTAGAGTAAAAATTTCAATTATATGTGTAGTTAAATGTGTAGTTTTTTAATTTTGTAGGAGCCTAGAAGCCGTATAAGAGAATAAGTTAGCAAAATATAGTTTTTCTATTACCTATGGATTATAACTAGATACTAAAAAAATAATTTTTTCTCAAGTTGTTATAAATCTTTATAACTAATTCATAAAGAAAGGAAGTATTATTGTTGCTTTTGCGGTACAATTTATAGAATTGACTTTATAGGCCATATTTTAAAATAAAAGCAACAACAATAAATTACCATTGTATTTGATTTTTTTTAAAGAAAATAATATATATTTATCTTAAAAACAATTTTTTTAAGACAGCAGTAATGACACAGACATCTAAAATGGCTGCAGACTTTATAACATTATTATATCAATAAGTTACTACAACAATGTTAAGATAACATAGATAAATAAAATAGTACTTTAACTGATTATTTTAATTCAAAAAAAAGATTATTGATTGTCGTTGCAATAATGGTCGTATAACATTCTTTTAAATGTGGAGAATTGCTGGTTTGCTAGTAAAAGCATAACCGGTTTAATACCATCACCTCTGCAACTCACTTTGCTGCAAATTGAACGGAGAACATCAAGACAATTAAGACTTTTGCTGCAATATTTTTTGCACGCATTGAACCATAGACCTGAGTAATACGAGTAGATATTTTTTAAGGTTTGGTTTGATTTTCTTAATAGTTAGCAGATCAGGAATATTTTCTAATTGGAGGCTTTGATCAGCCATTTCTCTAATCAAGATTTGAGGCTGGTCAAACTTATCTTTTCAGTAACTTGCCAAACCTTTCTTTTTACTATCTGGTGACAAAATGGTTAATTCAGGTTTTTTGAAAAAGGTTGACACTGCCCAGTAAACGCAGATCATTTTTAAAACGTTTAAAATCCGTTTTAATAAGTTTTTTAAACGTTTTAAAAAATGTCCTGTGCTTACTTGATGGTTCTTCTTTATGAATGCATGCAGCAGCTTGCTCAAGTTTATCTTGTTGCATAAAATTAACATTTAATTCAAAAGGTGTTTTTCCAACTCTTTTGAACTAGAAACAAGAACCGGTTTCAATACCCATTTCTCCCATATATTGTCTAAGATGGTCATAAATCCCTCTCTATTAATTGATTGTATTGGCTTGAAAAGATAATTCTGTACTCATGATACAGATTTTTATTAACCTGGTCAACCAACTGAGTTGAAAGGTGAAAAAAAAAGGTGAAAAAAGTGAAAGGAGGTATATTAAACCATTTTAACTGAATCGTGAACTATGTCCGTCAGATAACAAAGCAACAGGTCGTTCTATTGCCTTCTCAGTATACTGAGAAGGCAATAGAACCTTACCAGTAAGGTAATCATCAAATTCTTGGCTCTGCTTTTTCTAATTGTAAATTTTTTGCATATGTGAACTTTCTCCCAATTTATGCCTCAGACGTACATTTTCCATGAATAGATTGTAATTTTTTCTGTCTGAGCTAAACTTTTGGGTTCATTTTCTATTTTTTTTAAATCTATTTGATTAAAAAATTGCTGTTAAACATCTTAGAGTATATTATTTGCTTACAGAACATATCTAAATACTAAAAAACAACTTTCAAGTAAAAATTTAGATTTTGCTGTAGGTTCAAAGACAAAGTAAGTTTTAATAAATTCTTGCAACTATTATATTCTAAAAATGTTATTGATTTTTGAAACGTAAAAAACAAAAAAAGCAAACTTAGTTTCAAACACTGCAATGACCTCTTTAGAATCAAGAGGTTACATAGAATCAATATAGTAAGTATAAGCGAGAACACAGATATAGCCTATAAAATGTCATTTTAAAACATCAATGTTGTTTTTGGGGTACCTATTTTGTGGTTTTTGTGGTGCATCGGGTATTTTCTCCATAATTAAGTTGCAGTAACTAGTTTTATTTAAAGCAGATCAAATAATATAAGGACACACCGAATTTTAGCTTCATAGGTTCACTAACTGCAGAGATACAATCGATAAATTGAATGCGGTTTTTGGGGTAAACAAAAAACAACAAATGTTCAGTCAACAATAACAGCAAAACTATTTCTTAAAAATTAATCAAACTAGCTGGGAAAAACTGATTTTAAGCAACTCTAAACACACTCAAAACAGTTTTTATCAAGATTGAGATGTGCTTTTTTTGGTGTTTTTGCGGTACGTATACCTGTAGACATTGTCAAAAACTTTAAATAAATCACATTTTCACACCAACAACTTTAAACATTTTAAACTAAAACGCTCAAATAAACATTAAAAAAACGTAAAAATGTTTAATTAAATTTTTTTTTAAAATAAATTTAATTAAACATTTTTACGCCCCTGTGTACATATATATATATATATATATATATATATATATATATATATATATATATATATATATATATATATATATATATATATATATATATATATATATATATATATATATATATATATATATGTACACAGGGGCGCTGGGTCAGATTCCCTAGGCAATCTTGTTTATGGGACATCATCAAATAACAAAAAAAATTTATCAGTATGCCAAATAAAAAATTCAAAACATCTAATAAATAAATGAAAATTGTTTACTTTGCTGCCTTCATCCAACAGATTACAGAGAGATTTCAAGCTCTGAAACAACAATGATCCGATGGCGATCACAAATAACATCGAATATGTATTATATAATAACTTATATTTTTTAGATCTTAACCGTTTTTACATTAACTATATTACTTATATTCTTTATATTTTTGTATCTTAAAAACAACAACAACAAAACTCTATTTATACAAAATTTTCGTTCAATAACAAAAAAACACTATTGTTCAAATAGTCGCCACATAATTGTTATTTAGTTCGTTATATTGGCGCTATTTACTGGTTATATCGATCGTGGTATCGGAATGTTGTTTTTCTTTTATGCTAATTCAATTTTCTTCCAATCATTCTCCCCCTCTTTGATAAACTCCAGTCTATCAAACATGTAATTATCAAACTCAAGAAGACACAATTTAGTAATTGGTCGTATAAATTCTTTTTCGCCAATTTTGACTTTCATAACTCTTACACGTCCATTATTACCTTCAAAGACTCCCGTAATTTTACCAAGTGGCCAATGTCCTCTAGATGTATCTGGAGAAATTACTAACACAATGTCATCCGTTTTTATTTTGCGTTTTTTCTGATTCCATTTAATCTTTTAGATAAAGATGGAAGCCATTCTTGCATCCATCGTTTCCAAAAATGACTTAGTAGTTCTTGCACTCTACGCCAGCGCTTTTTAGGATGATAGCCTTTAGATTGAACTGAGTCAGGTGCAAAATGTCCACCAACTTGTCCAATCAAAAAATGATTTGGAGTTAATGGAATATCGTTTTTTATATTGGCACTCTGATATGTTAGTGGGCGAGAATTCAAGAAACTCTCAGCACCGGTAAATGCCGTACAGAGTTCTTTATCTGTAATACCGGCTTT